CGGGCAGCCCGTGATCCCGTCCCTTCCGCCACATAACGCCCTTTTGTGAAGGGCTTGCAGCACGCTTAGACCTATTGACGGAGTAAACCTCCGTCTAGAAGGTCTAGAAGGACGTCTAGAAGCGAACTAAATCAGGCATTTACCCCGCTCCTTTAACTCACGCAGCCCCCCTCCAAACATGACCACCTCTCCTCCCCGTTGTGGGCATAAATCCCCGGGAGCGGAGAGAAAAGGGAGGGACGGATCCAGCCTGGAAGAGAAAGTTAAGCGGAGGCTCAAACTTCGCTCACCGCCTCCCTCCACCCGCGAAAGTGCAGCCTGGATCAGCCGGTAAACAGCCGTCTTACCCCGAGGTCTCCCGCATCTGAGGCCTTCCTTGCATTTTCCTTTTTGGCTCGGCTTTTAAAAGATGAGTATTAGTTTGGAAATCCGAAGCTAGTGCCTCTGAGGCCAGCCATGTAATTTGACTGCGAATGTAGCGCAAAAGTTCAAGAGCGGCGCTTCAGGAGAGGTTCCCGGGGTGGCACGCAGCGGCCCCGGCCGGGCAAGGCACGGCGCCGGCGCTGGGATCCGCAGCGGCCGGGGGCTGCGCGGCGGCTGGGCGCAGGAGCCGCGCTCGAGAAATGTCCGCGGGGACGAGCGGGAGAGCGATATGGGAATTTAAAGGGAAGGGGAAAATACTGAGAAATCCTGTCCCAAGACCTCTTATTTTTTTGGTTCTGATTGTCCCCGGCCTATTCGCTCCGTGGCAAAGCCATGAGAGCTGATGCTCCGCAGGCTTTGCTACTTGCGGTTTCTCTCTCCGTATGTGTGTACACGCTCACATATGTATGTTCACACACACACACACACTCACGCACACACATATATATACATATATATATATATATATACACACATACGCAAAACCAGAAGGGATCCGGGCAGCACGGCGAGCCCAGGGCACAGCCGCTGCTTTGCGGGGCTCCGGGCGCACCGCTGGGCCGAGCGGGGATGCACCTCCTGGGTGCTGAGGCAGAGATAACCAGCTTTTCTGGGCGAAATCAGACTTGCCAACGGACGTTGTTCTCTCTGAGCTCTCCACTGCAGCTGCAGTCTCCTCCGCTGAGCCCGAGAGCAACGGGACCCCCTTTAGAAAGGGATTTTAGGCTAGTGAATTTTTTCACTGACAGTAAAGAGGGTCGAGGGAAATCTATCCCGCGTTTTCGACGGTTATTCCCGCTCTGTGTGTGTATATAACGGTGAGATTGCTTTCCACTCGGATATAATTCCCCCCTCCCCAACTGCAGAATTACTTGATGCAGTTTTCAAAGCAGCCCTGTGGTTATGTCAGGATGTCTGGAAAAAGCCAAAAAAAAAAAAAAAAAAAGGGAGCTGAAGTTTTTCCAGTTCAGATTCATTTCACAATCCTGGGAAGTGTAAATACGCAGATGCAGAACACGGCTCGTCCTAGGACAAGTAGAAGTTCCTTTTTTCTTTTCAGCGCTCAGAAACTAAGAACCCAGCTGAGTTCAGCGCATCAAACACCCATCATATTTAGGGCACTTTCTCAACCTCGCTTATTTCAAAAAATTTATCTGCAAGACTAGCTTTTCTGCAAGAATAACTTTGCTGCCAGGCTGAGGGGGAAAGGGTGGCACAGAGAGGAGGCGAGGGGACCTAAAAGTTAAGATAACAGCGGTTCACGAGGCACATGGAGGGCGGGTGAAGGCATTTGCCATCTACCCCCTCTGGAGCAAGCTCAACTCAGCGGGTCCGAGTTTCTTTGCGCCTTGATGGAGTCCTGCCCCTATGTCTACACGGCTGTCTGCGGGAAAGAGACATTTTCCCAAACATGTGGGACCTGAGAGGATTTCACCTCCCTGCAAAAGCTGTCAGAAGAATTGAGTTGACTAACGTGTCTTCCGTACGGATATTTCTCTCACTTTGTCTCTGCAATCATATGCATGTGTGTTTATAGATGTCTATATATACAGACGCGCAAAGCCTGGAGAGCAGATTTACATTTAGGTATAAAGTGAACTTCTCTGTACACAAAGTATGTACAGTACGGTGTGCACAAAGGGAAACACATCTTTAAACAAAGATACGTAAAAACGCTAGTATCCTTGCATACCCAACGCTATTTTTGTCACATCCATTTAACACGGTTTCATAGATTTGCTGTTGTGTTAAAAACATCGGCTAGCTGCAAATACACAGTTTTAGAAGAGAGCAGGGAAGGCGAACGGAGTTCAGCTTGCCCATTACTCGAAAGAAGCGAGTATGTTCCAAACAACGGTTAGACAGCGATTTTTAGCATATTTTAATGCAGTGGAGTAACGGGTTCTTTGTGTATGAAGTGGAAAGAAAATTGAAAACAAAGTCCAGGAATGAAGGAAAGAAACGCTAGACTGGTTTTAATACTCCCCCCATGCCTTAGTTCAACAGAAACATTAATTTACATTAGCAATTCTGCATCTTTTAAGATAAATTACATAGCAGCGTAATAGATTTAAAGTATGCCAGATTTTTTATCATTAATTGTAAATGTGCAAAATACCTGCTGGTACTTCACTTTAGAAGAATGTAATTGGCAAAAATGGGAGGCTGATGAATAGATAATAGATCCTTAACTACCAATAAACAGTAAGCACCAGCCAAGAGTATTAGGATGTGATCATAATTATTCTGCAGCCGCAGCCAATGGGAGGAGGAGAACTCAGCCCTAAAATCATCCCCGGACCCAAAGGTAATCGCGAAAATACGGACAGGGCTGGAACTGGAGACTTGCTCCCCTGTCCCGTTTGCGAGAGCCCAGCGTGTCCCAGCTTTGCATAATGCAACTGCTCTCTGCTTTGTTTTCAGCACTGCCCGGTGCAAGGAGTGCAAAGGAGTGAAGGGAAAAATACATAAGTTTGGAGGAGGAGGGAAACACATTCTCTCCCTGGGAGGAAACCTTTTCCAAGTGGGGCATCTCTCCCGGACACCTCGGGGCTGCCGGGCTGCTTGCAGATCCAGGTAACCTCACCCGGGCTGAGAGGACCCGAGAGGTGGCAGGGAGAGGGGTTGTCAGGCTGGCAGAGGCGCTTTAACTTCACCGAGCGATCAGAGCAAGGATGCAGCAGCTCCCCCCACCCCGGCCGCGCCCCC